GGCAAAGAAGTTGGAATATGGAAGGAAGGCTGGATGGTAGGAGCAGGGCCGTCTTTAATACTGATTGGACCCTGGGCAGGTATTTGATTGGGGCCCCTTGACCTAGCCCTTCCCCTTCCTAGCATGCAATCACGCCATCAATGCCCACACATAAATTTAAAAAAACACACACTTAGCCCTCTCATTTCTTACTGAGACAAAATACACACACTAACACACATACAGATGCAAACACTGACATACATAGAGATGCACACATACGCAGGTACAGAAATACATATTACACAGACACACAAGTGCATACACAGACACACATGCAGATACACAGATACACTCACTGACAAACATGCAGATAAACAGAAAAACTAACACACAAACAAACAAACACACTGACATACATGCAGATATACACAATATCATACTGATACATACACGGACCCACATGCAGATACACATATACATACAAACAGACACATACATACAAACATACATACAAACAGACACTTACATACATACACTTACATACAAACAGATAGATACATACATACATACAAACAGACACATACAGACAGACACATACATACAGATACATACATACATACAGACAAATACACACAGGCAGACACATACATACAAACAGACACATACATACAAACAGATACATACAGACAGACACATACAAATACATACATACATACAGACATACATACATACAGACAGACACTTATATACAAACAGACACATACAAACATGCACATTTTGTATGTGTTTCCTACCTTTGGAGTGCAGGAGGCTGGCTCAGGCTGATGGGAGTCAGAGCTCCCACTCTGACTCCCTCCTTTTCTTCTCCTCCTCCCGTGCGGCACTCGGTGAACGCTAGGAGGAAGTTACCGGCAGTCACTTACTTCCAGCATCCTGACATCATCACAGGGAGCCCGGTCGCACTTTGAAAGCGGCCGGGCCCCTGAAAATCCATCGCCATCAGGTGGCCCTTAGGTGCATTGGCCACCCGTTGAGCCTCCACAATGCGTGGCCTGCAGTGGTAGTGATACCGGAGAAACTGACGGAAGCAAAGCACAGAGGGATGGACACAGGTTTCTTCAGGAAGGAAGAGATTCTTTATTGGATCACCGATCGGGACTCAGAGGGACTAATGTCACCAAAAATACAGCAAGTTCTGAGCCCTGAACAATAGTGCAGGCTCCCTATATAGGCACATAACTCCTCCCATATTAAGCTCCACCCGCACATTCTCTTGACCAATCATTACAAATAAGAATTAACTTCCTGCTTGACCGCATGGCTTGTCCAGCACAATGGAGGAGGGGAATACTACATCCTGTATTCTTGCACATGCTCCGTACACTACTGATCGTATCTTGCCTCGTGCAACCAACTGATCGATACGTCAGCATATGCACGTACACATGCCACGTGGTAATCTCGGCCTACTAAATTTATTTTTACCGAGATTCCACCACATTCCCCCCTTTGATGCCTCTTGATATTTTACAATTACTTGAGGCATCACTTAACCTTGGTTTGCATACCCCACAAGTTACCTTTGAACCAGACCAGACTTATCCTATGATGTGAATCTTCAACACTCGTCTTCCTGCTTTGGTTCTCCCTGATCTAGAGCCTTATATTTATAAATT